TGCCAGTGAAGATGTTGATATTAATTGGCTGAGAAGCCTGTCAGTCATGAGGTTCCCATGACAAGCTACAATATTTGTGACCGTTTTATATATTTTTAATTCACTATCGGTGAATTATCGGTTTCTGAATCCCTATAGCAGTTAGCGAGGCGAATATCGTCCAATACCGAAGTCCATTAGATGAATCAGTGAATCTCTAATAATGAATCCTGTTCAACAAACTGGAATCCATATTTGTGTATTTAGTTATGACTGAATAAATAATGTGTGAGGGGGAGGGGCCAGTGTCCTTTTCATTTGGAAAAATGTTCACTCTGGGATAAACTCTGGCCAGCTAACCCTTGCTATATTTTTCTCATCATTTATTAATCCTGAGATACTTCTTGGCCTACTTTTGACCTTGTCTTGAGTGCCAGTGGAATAGAAGCCTCCTTCCATAAGACACTTCTACGAGATGCATGAACTCTATTAAATATTTGTTTTTGACACATTCATGTTGGGTTGCCAACGTAATCTCAATCCAGTGCGTCTTAGTTCAGGTTTAAAGTGTTGCTGCCGAGGAGACAGACAGAGTCTACCACCTGGAAACAATCATTACACCCGTTCCCATTGTATATCTTAATCATGTAGTCCGGGTGTGTAAGTGGATTAATTTAGAAACCTTCACCTCCCCGCACTGATCACAGCGGTCAGCCCAGAGTGAGACACACACACACCAGCCCATCTCATCTGAGACCCCGGCCTCCATTTAACGTCTGATTGCTGTGTTAAAATCCCTCTTTACTGACAACAGAAGCACAGAGGTGACGAGCGAGAGCGAGGCCGTCAAGATGGAAGCTGTAATGGAATTTCAATGGGACAATCTCCCTCAGGTTGATGGAGGAATCACATTGAGAGTCAAAGAGCTGTGATTGCTCTGCGCTGCCCGGCAGGCATCAGGAATGATGGGACTCTGACCTCCATACCCATGACCAGACTGAATGTTCCTGACACACACTGCAGCGTTCAAAACTTACACTGAAGTGTTTTTTTAAACTGTTGGTCTGGGGGCGAAAATCCAGAAGAAAAAAAACAACCTTCTATTTTCATTGCACCTGTATTTGGCAAAGTCGCTGCACTGCCAATCACTTTTGAGCACTTTTGTCTGTCTGAACACTGTTGGTAATCTGAGGTATTGATTGAGTATATATATATATATATATATATAGAGAGAGAGAGAGAGAGAGAGAGAGAGAGAGAGACTGTATGTGTGTGTATGTATACATAGGCTTTGTGGACAGATAATTAGTCAAATATATAAAAATCTCATATTTGCAAATGGTCATTTTACAGTAGAAAAAAATATTATTTACTTTCATCTCCACCAATTATAACAATCAGGTTAATGACAAAAAAAAAAAGAAATGAAAATGTATTGTCTAACAAAGAGAGGCTGGTGACGTGAGTTCCCCACCTTAAGAGAAGTTGATTATAGATTTTATTCTCGTTGAACTGTCGCTAAAATACAAGTGTGTGTAACTATTCCTTTAATCACCATTGTACATTCAGAAAAAGCCGGTATCGTCTGGCTTTAATGTCATAAAGTGTTGTTTTTATGATCTGTGATCATTCTAGTTTAATAACTACACCTAAAAATATCAGGGCGCTCAGTGCTGATAATTATTGTTTTAAACTGTTGACCAATGATTGTTTTCCACTGGTTAGCTGTCATTTGGGGAACCTTCAGCTGGATCAGGCGTCCCTCACCATCTGGCTCCATTTTTGTGCAGATGAACTTGACATTTATTTCCAGACTTATCACAGATAATAACACGCGATGCCTGGCTCTTTTTTTTAGCATTTGCAAATCTGTGTCCTTGGCTCCTTCCAGGGCAACGTGACCTTCTCGTGCTCGCAGCCCCAGCTGGTGGCGTGCACCTTCTTGAGCTCCAGCAGCAGCTTCCTGTCGCTTCCATCAGCTGCAGCATCTGCCACCGAGGGCTTCTCTGTGCGCTTCCAGTTTAGGACGTGGAACCCAGATGGGCTGCTCATGTCCGTGCCACTGAACCCAGAGCCCCAGAGACTGGAGCTGAGGATCAGTGGCGGCCAACTGCGCCTGACCCTTCATGGCACCGGACAACAGAAGTCGGAGGTGGCCACTGGTGGGTACATGTCACACACACACACACACGAACACGTATTTATGCAGACAAACAAAAGAATTGTTTTAAAAAATATTTCAGATCAACCTAAAATATGATATAATTTGTGATATTTTTTACAAACAGGATGCAAATATATTTAGCATTATATTATTACTTTGAAATACACAGTTTAAAGGAATAATTAAATATTATTGATGTGAAAAAATATAATTACAGACTCACACTTTTACAAAATTCCCTTTTTCTCCCAAAAATGATTAAAAAAAATTTTAAAAAAATTGTTGAGAAAAATATTTTTGTGATGTTATAGACAGATACTTTATTGATCATATGCTGGGAAATTGCAGAATGCCAATACACAATATTAATTTCCAAATTATGAGGACAGGTCATTTGATTTGTAATTGTTTTTTTAATAATCAGTAAACTATTAATTTAATTTAATGTAGTAAGTTACAGTCAAACTAATCAAAACACTATTAATTTAATTTAATTTAGTAAGTTACAGTCAAACTAATCAAAATTTGTCTCATAATCCTCTTTCTTTAAAACTAAAACTTTTCCATAGATGTGAAAATAATTTAAACCAAAATAATTAACTTTTGATAATAATAATTCCTCACATTGTTGTGACATGAACTGACACAGGTTAGGGATAATGTACATGGTTTCTTAATTTAGTGTTCCCTAATTATACAACCAATCAACAGTTAAATGTCAGGATGCTAAATGTCACGACTGACAAAAGAAAATTACTAGTAACAAATTGTCAAAAAAGTGCGACAATATGTGGAAAACAACAACTGGAACAAAATGATTCGCTTTTCTGCAGTGAGAAAATGCTACAAATGCTTCCAGTGGTTTTCACTGCAAAGGGATTCACTGGCCTCATTCAAAAATGCATTTATGTATTCAAAAATAAACAACCTGTGAGCGAGTATAAGTATGGATTAATTCTGTAGCCCTTGACCTGAACTTCACCCCCAGGTACCCCAAGTGTACATGTGCATTTTTTACCATACTACTTGAGGGGAAACATGGGACATAAACACACCCAGAGCAGCAGACTGACTGACTCTCACTCTGACATTTTATCATCGCGGTCATTTCAAGTCAATGTCACTCGCCTTTATTTGGTATATGAGCATGTGAAATGTTAATGGGCGCTTCTATCGACTTTGAATCTTTAATCACTTTTGTTCTCGGTGTCTCCAAATATCAGTGTTCAGAACCTTTTTGTAAAATTGATCACAGGAGGTGAAACAAATTACTTTGACTGAAGGGTTCAAGCCAAATTTTGGGGAAACAAAGATGGAGAACAGGAGGGTGGTCAGTTGAGCCCACTGGTTTGTTATTCTGTTTTGTCGTCATACACATATATATTTGTATATTTATGTGTATGTGACTGTGTTTATATCTATTATATATGTTTGTATACAGTATTTGTATGTGTATATATATGCATATATATGTAGATATATGTATATATGTGTACATAATGTATGTATTAGCAGTACTTTGAAAACTAATGATAATGAGAATTTATTTTGCAAAAATATATTTAATCTTTATGACAAGTCTTGAAGTTGACTCCACTTTTAGTGGAAATTTTTTCCAGTGTCTGGACCAAAATCATTATTCAGCAGACTCTCAGTTAGCATCTCGGGCTAATTCCAAAGCCCACCACGAAGATGATTTACATTTTAAACCTGCCCAGAATATATCCCTGGGATTCTGCCTTAAAATATCTGTGTAAAACACGGACTTGTCCTCTGCACACAGCCTTAACACTGGGGAGGTTCAATTCCCTGGTTTCCACCAGGTGTTAAAATGACACCAGTGTGAGAGAGTGGTGTGAAATACAAAAAAAAATCCCCTCCACAAAGGCTGTGGCGAACCATTAACAGGGAGATCAGAGCCGAGAAAACCGGCCGCACCGCTGCTACGTCTTTACAGCACGTAGTGTGGATTTCTTTTTAATATCAATTTAAATAGTAATTAAAAAGCAGGTGGGATCAAAGGGTGGTTCTGGACCCCGTGTAACCCAGGTACCAACATGAACACATCGCCATTGTTTTCTCCATTTTCCAAGAGCAATTCAAGTTTAAGTTACTTTGTAAACTGCTCACTCCACAAAAGCCCAGAGTTTAAACCATCAATTTCAGCTACCAGGAAGATGACTTTTTAGTTTTGTTTTGATTTCCTACTTTGTATTTCTCAGGTACGTCGAGGTGTTCTTTCCCAAACAGTGAAGTGGATGAAATAACATACCGGGGCTCAGTGAAGGCAGAAAAATAGACAGAAACACGCCCTGTGTTTTATTAGGAAAAAAACACAGTGGACCTGGTGCAGGGGAGTGAGCGGTTTACAAACGGGGATGAAATAGTGGGAAAGTCTTTCTTTTAACTCAAGAATATGGCGTATTGACAGGGTGATATTAAAGTAGTATAGAGTAGCTTAGCAGCTTTCTAGAAAATGGAGGTCTGCAGTTTTAAATCAAGTAAATAACAGCATCAGATGAACAAAATATAACAAAGACCAAATGCACCAAAGCATTGGTGCATAAAGAATATCGATCTGTTTCTCCTCTGAATCCAGATGTTATCTCAAACGACATTTTCACACGAGCTAAACATCATTTTTCTTTGCTTCCTTTATCCTGGAGCTGCACACGATGCAGAAAAAAAAAAAAAAAAAACCCCATCAACATCCAAAATGAGCTTTTGTTTGCCTTTAAGCTTACGCTGCATTTACTGACTCCGAGCAAATTCTCCTCTGCAGTTTCATGTTGCAGGAATGGCAGACGCTATTACACGTGTTATTTCCGCGAGGCATCAGTCGGAGCTGAACGTTGTCTGTTAATATAGATGAAGAAGCAAAAGAAAATGAGAAAAAAAAAAAAAAAAGTTCAGTTCCTCACAAGGGGTTCGGTGACACTCTGCCTGATCACTGATATGATAGGGAACTCTTGAGTTCCAAGATAGTGCAGTGACACCTGAAGCTCAGTGAGCAGCTGGGAAGAAAGGAGATCATGATATATATATATATATGAGTTGGAATTGGGGGGAGGACGGGTGAGGGGAACTCCCACTGATGCTCAGCAGCAGTCCCTTGCGGCTACACTGTTTATTCCGCCAAATAGTCAACGGTGTGAAGAGTAAAATGCCCAGGGCACTTACACGGTCTTCGGGGATAAAAGGTTCTGCTGTCAGCGACAGGCAGCAGTGGACTGTGTGGGAAATCTCAACTTTTCCTTCAGCTCCTCCCCAGAGGTGACAAACGTCTGATTTCAGTCTAAAATCCCTCCCATAGTGCATCACTGCAGGCTTCTTTACGCGAATGCATCCCGGGGACAGAATGAAACACCAAAAAGGGGCGTGGCACGGTGATTTCAGTCTGTTGTTGCTCCACTGAGGTTCAGCAATGTGAAGAAGAGACGTCCTTGTTTTCGTCCTTGATTTTCCGCAAAATATTAGGGTTTTTCTTTTTTTTCGTGATATAAAGAGGTTTTGCAGCACAAAAGCAAGGGCTTTTTTTTTTTTCAAATTAAGTCAAGATAACTTGGGCTTTTGTCAGGAAGAGATTTAAAGGAAAGGAATTAGATAAAAGAGAACACATCTGTTGAAAATAACAGAAAACTGTCAGTGGAGCAGAGCCAAAGTGCACAAGGGAACAAATCATTTTTTTTACTAAATTGGCCTTCATGTTTTCACGTTAGCTTTTATTGTATGAACCACAGTTTGGAGTTGGTGAGGGTCATTGTAAAGGATTTACATCCTGTCATTACTCAGTAGCTTTGTTACTGTAATTTAAATTAGGGAAGTTTTTTAAGTTAAAAATATTGTTCATTGCTGTGTAATAACAACATTTAATTTCTCAGGTTAAAAGACTCTGCAGCATGGGCTTTATTAAATGCTTTTTAAGCTCTTGTGGGCCATACAAAATGACTTGCCGGACCACATTTGGCCCCCGAGCCTTAAGTTTAACACTTGCTTTCTATTATAAGGAAGGAAAAAAAAATGCTGCTGCTACTCCAGTCAGGGTTATTCCACCTTTTTCTGTCTGCAGTGCCAGTGTTACCATCAACCTCTGAACTCTGTGATTTAATTACAATATGTAAAAAATACATTTCTTTTCATAGTAAACAGGCTGTGCCCTGCAGTCTGAGGTGAACAAATATGAAATAACGGTATTTGTTAACTTTCTTTTGTTCAAACATTAAAACTCCTCTGACACTACGCTGTCGAGCAACTGTATTAACGAGACCTGCAGAGGTGGAGTTTCACCTGCAGAGCACAACATGTTAACACTAATTAATAAACAACATAGACGTGGCGTCGGAGTCACACGGCCTCTTTTACACCCGAGCTTAATGTTAAAGATAAAATATGGAGCAAGAATTAGTAATGAAGCCGGAAGCTGGAGGGGGTTTGTTGGAGCTGCGTGTGTGTGACAAAAACAAACTCTGAATGCAGGAAGCAACTTTGCTGGGGGAGGAAATAGAGGGATTTGATGGCAGAGTTGTCAAGAATTAAAAGAAAAGAAGAGAAAGAAAAAAAAACGCTACCAGAAGTTTATCTGTAATTAAATGCAAACAGAGGGGAAATTCATCGTCAAATGTCTGCTTCCTCCCATGGCTGTTGCACTCCTTGTCTCCCGCAGTTATATCAGGAAACACTGGCGGCTGCTGTGAAAACTCCCAACCACAATGAGTCTGTCACACTGGGATGAATCAGGAACCGATGCAGAGATTCTTCACAGCCTCGGGGTCCATGACTAAAAACAACCCCACTCTCTAAAAGCCATTGACTGAAGCAGATGTGAATTGTTCCTCTGCAGGCCTCAGAGTCAGTGACGGACTGTGGCACTCGGTGAACCTGGAGAGCAGGAACCTACAGATCACTCTGACGGTGGACGGCGAGCTGTGCTCCACCACTGACCTCTGGGAACAGGTGGAGGCAAGAAGCAACTTTTACTTTGGAGGTGAGTGGAATCCAGTGTGTGAGATACTGACTTTATTATTGTAGCTGATGCAGGAGAAATGTCAATGAAACACATGTGCAGTGGAGCCCGAGATCAGGCATGGGCAAACTTAGGCCCGGGGGCCGGATGCGGCCCGTTCAGCTTTGTAATCCGGCCCGCCAAACACGCATGACTTTTACATGTCATTTATCTTAGGTCACTCAAACGCTCCATCTAGTCAAAAAGTTAGTTTTGTATTTAAATATTTAGGTACGAGTGCTCAACCCAGAACTGGCATCCATTCAGTCGTACAGCGTGGGGAAGCCGCGAGCTTTAGTGTTTAATAAAATTAAATAAAAATATTTCTACAATCCTTGTCCTATCTCAGTGACCCTAACACTCACTGTCCCTCACTTGGTTAGTTTACAAAATTCATTTTCATTATTAGTATTATCTTATATTATCAATATATATCTATGTTTTTGATGTTTAGATGGGGGACATTTTAATTTCATTAATTAATAGTCTATTTCTGGGGGGCAAATTAATGGAACAAATTAACTGGTTTTTAGTTATTTTTTAAAGGGGAAAATTCAATCTAGATACGAGTGATTCGAGACAGACTGGTATCTCGGGGGTCCACTGCATTCGCTTGGACAACATTGTGTTCCTTTGCCTTGCAACTTTAATCTGGTAACTGGTTGAAGAACTTTTTTTATAAAACTTTGATTAGTGCTTTGGGGTCCTAAAGTAGGACAGACATGAAGTTTGCCGCATCAGAATGAGTAGTTGATTGAAATAGATTGACAGCAACACTTAAAGAGATTTGAAAATAAAATATAAAAATAAAAAAAATATTTAAAACCCAGCTTTTGTGGTGTAAGAATGATGAGCAGCTTTTATTTATATATTGTAAACCTAAGGTTCCTGGGAAAACCAACAAACTGTAGGATTTAAAATGTAAAAGTAGGACGTTTTTGTTGCAGACTGAAATGTCTTCAGTCGGCATTTTTATTATATGATCTTTCACCACAGGAATACAAACAAACCAGCAGTGGTTGAGAATATTGACAGCAGTCAGAGGAGAGATGTCATAATCTGATATTTGATATTTGACGTACGGTCTGAAAAAGTCACGCAGGCCGACCACATATTTAGACTGACAGATTTTCTTTTTTTCTTACAAAGTACTTCAGTACTATGTTGTCTTATCACAGGCTTATAAAAAATATAGCAAGATTTTCTCTGTTGACTTATTTGAAAGGGAATATGTGTAACAGTTCTCAGTTTAAGGGACTGTCAACAAGTTCATGTCTGTGACCCCTAAATTACAGTCCCCAAGAATCAGAAATAAATCACAGCCTGTAACTGTACTATAGTGAGGTCAGAGGTCGGTAAGATAAAGTTTCAGGTCTCAATTATAGGTTTATGAAAATTTGGGCTTCAAAAAAAGTTCCCCTGTAAATATAAATACCTGAAATGTCAACCCAAAAACAAAAAAATAAATGCTTTTAATAATAGAATCCCAAATATTTTGGCTTCTTACGCATGATGTTTATGTGCTTAACTGGCTGAATAATATTAATAATAATAATAATAATAATAATAATAATAATAATAATAATAATAATAATAATAATAATAATAATTCCATGTGTCGTTTTCTTCCAGGCTGTCCAACCTTTGACTGCCAGGTTCGAACCGCGACCTTCCAGGGCTGCATGCGGCTCGTCTTCATCAACGGTCAGCCTGTGAATCTCAGCCACGTGCAGCAGGGAGCGCTGGGGAATTACAATGAGATTCAGTTTGACACCTGCAACATAAGAGACAGGTAACAGCGCTAAATATTTTTTTTCTTATTCACAGTTTTAAAAGGAAATTGTCACCTCCTGCACAATGTTTGATACACGACAGACACAGTTGTTTCACACAAAGAATAATAATAATAATAATAATAAATAAGAGTTGGCAGCAGAGTAACTCATGCTCACATTGTTAATTGGTGGATGGCAGCGTGTTGTGTACAGCGCAGCCCTGGAAGTCACTGACATCTTGTCCTACAGAGACAAACACACTGACAGGATCATCCAATTAAATTGCAACAGAATCTTGCTAACACCTTCCCAGGCAGAGGGCTATGCTAACAAGCTGCTTCCCCACTGTCCTGTGTGGCGCTCTATCCCTCATTACCCTGCACAGCTGTGGGCCCGTGACCAGGATTCGTCAGACCTTAGGAGCTCTGCGGATGTCGTTGTGAAGCTCGGAGAACATTTAAAACGCACGACACAAACGTGCAGGCTGACTTTTTTTTTTCCACCTTGTGTTCGCCCCGAGGAAAATCACCATCTCTGTCACTTTTCAAACCACCTTTTTCCAAGGCCAGATTGTTTTCTGTCGGAGGATATGCAAACACAACAGCACTGCCAGACTGTGGAGTCAGTGGTAAGAGGTGCACTGTGGGAAATGACAGAACCACTGAATGAGACAGGTTCCTTTTTTTAATTCTCCAGCAGTGAAGTGCATGACTTTTTACTGACTCAGGTGTTTTTTTTTTGGGTTTTTTTTTTATATATATATATACAGTATGTACCTTTTTGTGCTTAATATAGATGTCGGTAAGGTGGTTTGGAAAAGAGTGACACTAAAAGTAGCATGTCAAAATGAGTTCACTAAACAGTCACTGGTTCACTGTCACTGGTAAAAATTCACATTAGCCTCGTAGCATATTTTGCTATGTCATATTATGGTCAAAATGCAATTCCTGCCCAGCTCTACTCTCCTAATGCTGCTGACTAAACTTGGTTTAAGTAAATCAGCAGCGTGTGCAGGCACAGAGGCATTAATAGTCAGCAAGCTTGGATAAGTGACGTTTTATAGAATGTTTGGATGTCAACACACTTTAGTGCATAGTAGTAGTAGTAGTAGTAGCTTGAGGCATGGAGGTTAGCAGGCAACATAATTGGTGTATTCTAAGTTGCTAAATGCTAAACATACTCTTGTTAAATGGCTTTGGTAAAATATTCAGGTTGGCTGTCTGCTGGACTGTGGTTTAAGAGAGTAAAACGGTCTTTGCTTCTGTATTCCTTCCTGTGAGTAGGTTTTTTTTAGGGTTTCTAAAGGAGTGTAATTACGTTTTGAGCAGGCACAGATGCCTTTATACCAATACAATTACAATTACAATTACTCATCAAATGATCTCTGGAAAAAAGGTTCTGTCAAAGTATCGTGATGAAGTGAGTCACCTCCCTTCTCTTCTGAACTCCTGGTTGTGACATGGTTCACATTGATTGAGTTTGACGGCTGACTTTGGTGTCAAGTCGGTCCGCTGGGTGTAGGCTTTGCTAAGCCCAACTTAACGGCCTTCTTTAATCAGAGACCAAGGGGGCATCTGGGATTGAGCCGTGCTTAGAGTACCTTCTACTATCAGTGAGGTTTAGAGGTATTAGCGAGATTAGCTAATGTATTTTTAGTTATTCTGCAGTCAGTGCAGTCTGCCCGACAGAGATGATGATAAAATTTAATGACAACCTCAGACCAGTGTTGAGGACTGATGTCATTAAGCAGCTTTTGAGCTCCAAAGATGTTCAAACAATAATGGTTTAAAGTGAATTAATGTATCTGTAGCTTTTTATGAATGCTGTTCTAGCAAAACATTTCTATTTTCCTATTTTTTTTAAGGTTGCCGACGGAGCATTCATTAATCACTGTAACTGTTGAACGCTTGTTATTTTTTCTCACTGTATTCTTCAGTGCGCTGTGCCCATTCTCTTCTTCTTCACATGTAGCTTTCTCTACTGTACACACCAGCGAGCCGCCGTCTTTGGTTGTCGGTTGTTTAATGACGGGCAGACAGAGCACAGATGGTTCATCAGGGCTGTTTGTCTGTTAATAGCTGTCTGTCGTTTAGCTTTTTATCAAGATTAAAAAAAAAATGAAAGGCCTCATTCACCAACTGTTAATAAGACAGAGATAATTTCCTTTTTACGACAAATTTGACATTCAGTTTTTTTTTCCTCTGGTTAAAAACAAACGTGTGCATACGTAAGAATACAGTTAGAGACCAGGTTCACTAAGGCGTTTTATATCACGGAGTGGGTTGACGGCCAAATTTTACAGACAAATAACACTAAGGCGTTTTAGATCACGGAGTGGGTTGACGGCCAAATTTAACTGTGTGTTGATATTGATTTGAGCCTCATCGACATAATTTTACTAAATGAATGCGCATTAAACCGACAGCTCCCGGTGTTTCTTCGAGCTAAAATCAATAATTGTCTCTACAGAGTTTAATGTAGGACACGGAGAGATTCACAGCCTTTGCTTTAACGTCAGAATAAACACTAATAATATATATATATAAAGCAGGCAAGTATATATTTATTAACATACTTTTTTATGGAATGAGTTTGTTTTTTTTCCTGCCATGTTCCATTTGCCAGCTATTTTTGTGCTACGTGTCGTCATGGTTGCTGGCAACACAACTAATTATAAGAGTGCGCTGCATGTATTCACACATCAACATGCTATAAATCATTTTCCTGAAGCAAACTTGATTAATGACATGTAATTGAAAGGGATATTTAATGTATTTTACACATGAGAGGTCAATTTAAATTAATCAATTTGAATCACTTAGTGCTCACATATATATGATTTTATATCATTTGACTGGTTTTGATTTTTAGTTTTGAATTTTTGACCATAGTATAATCATTTGGTTCGACACATCTGTCATATCAAGCATCAAATGGTTGTTTAGGGTGGAAGTAAATATATAAATGATACACTTCCAGTTCTATTTTTGCCGTCAGCTTCTTTGACTAAACCGTCCCAAATGAACTAAATTATTCATCTTTTTTTTAACTACGACTTTTTTTTTTTTTTACTACACGCTGAAAGTATCAACAGCACCCTGTTCATTTCCTGTTGTTTTTCATCGTCTCTTGTTTTCCTGTTATCGTATGTCGCAAGGCCGGATCGTGTCATGTGAGGCCAACTCCTGTTTCCTCTCCCTTTTCTCACATCATCTGCATTAACAACCGCGTTACATGAAAGAAAATTAACTTTTTTCGATGTTATTTCTTTTAATTTATTCATTTATCTATTTTTTACCCTTTCGTGTAATTAAATCTCGCGGCTTAATTTGCGGCCGACGTGTACTTAGGTGCTCGCTACTGTAATTTCATGACCTGTAAGGGCACTCATGAATACAAGGAAGAAAAATAGCTTGATGGTAATTAAAGCAGTGGGTGCAACCTTATCTGTGTTGCGGCTGGGCCCCGCTCCGCTGCAGTTAATAGGTGAGAGATGAAAGTGTATGAAATTATAGATGCACGCTCCAAAGGCTGGCAATTATGTGAAACTGGAGGAGGCTCCAGGAAGGGACTATTAATCAGAAAAGTGTGGCTAAAAAAACATAAATTAATAAATAATGTTTTTTCCCCAGCGCGTTGAGCCGATGCTGGTGAATTCCCATTGATGGCCATTGTAGTCTGAAGGTGACAGTTATGCTGTTATTTTTTATTTTTTTGACAAACAACGCGTTGTGTGGGCTCTGTCATATTGAGACAAGGGCGCAGCATGAGATGCTGCAGAGTTGTTAAAGGATTTTTTTTTTTTTAAAGGTGGCCTTGTAGAACGTGAGTTCACAGCAAATCATTCTTTATTCGCCGTTGGTTTATAACAGGACAAATAAAAGAACAAAGCAGTAAACATTCATTCCCTAATAAATCATTGATGTCTAAGAATTATCAAAGATTCTTTTAAGTTCCAAAGGTGGTTGTAGTCATGTTACAGTAGGTGTGAGATGAATTTGCTGATTTTCCGATTTTTTTTTTATATCCAATACCGTATTTTCCGGACTATAGAGCGCACCTGAATATAAGCCGCACCCACTAAGTTTAAAAAAAAAAATCAGGCCGATATCCAGTTTGAGAAATGAGATATTTGTCGGATACACAGGAACACAGAAAGATTTCGTACCATAAATGTTTATTTATATATCTGAACAGATTGTTTCCGAACAGTGCCTGTAACACGGCAGTAAAAGTGCTGATCGAACAAAACAGAAAAGTAATTGATGATTTTATTCATCTTCCTCCTGAGCACTGAAACCACTGAACACCGAAGCTGCTAGAACGCCCCCTGGCGGCTGAAGATAAATCCATAGAAAAGCCGCGTCTTTGTATAAGTCACATGGTTCAAAGAGTGGGAAAAAAGTAGCAGCTTATAGTCCGGAAAATATGGTATATTTATATATATTTATTTATACAATCCTGAATACTCCAACTGATATACAGTACACACATATATGTATATCTTTTTTTTTTTTTTTCAGGTGTCTCCCGAACCTGTGTGAACATGGCGGCCGCTGCTCTCAGACCTGGACCTCCTTCACCTGTGACTGTTCAGGAACAGGATACTCAGGAGCGACATGTCACAACTGTGAGTCTTCTCATCTTCATTTCGGCACCGTGTCCTTCTCCCAAACTTCCAATTAGCAGACGCTCCCTACCTGCCCCCTGCGCCCCCTCGTTCATTTCAGGTCTACTGATCTGTGTCATTTGACTCTGCGCACACATCCCTTCCCGCATTGCAGGAGTCGGGGGCAACAACTTGTCCTTCTTCAAACTTCGACAACCTGAAATGACCCTGAAATCGCCCCTGTTGTTCCTATTTTCTTTTTTATTCTCTTCTCTTTGGACCAGTGTGAGTTTAAAGAGACTGTACATGTTGGGGATTTTTCATCACAGGTTTCAAATGTGACACCCCCCCCCCTCCTGGATACTGGCTGCAGAGAAACCGATGTTAAAACAGTATGTGTGAAATCCCTTTGCCCCAGAATACTGATGACTTGTTTATATGCAGGCAAATGCATGCAATATTTTTTTTTCTTTTTTGGTGCACGTCAGAGGGAACATGACAGAAAGAGCATCTGCTGAATTAAAAATAGGCCCCCTCCTCCCCCTTACTCAACTGTCATCAGCTTCACCCAAAAACACATTTTCAGAGGCACAGCTCAGACTTCAGTATCTGAAGCCTGGGCATTTGGAGGCTCTGCGTAATTGACAGTCCCTGCTTTTGGTAAAGGGTGACAGAGTTTGGACATCACTTTAGAACGAGTGGAGCTGATTTTTTTTTTTTTTTGCAAAAATCAAATGCGTCTGAAAAATGTCTGTTTTTTTTATTAGCTCCCATGGCCAATCAACTACCTAAGGAGCCTCACTAATACAACCTTTTTCCACAAAGTCAAGGAGGATTTCACACTAAATTATGCCACCGGGCTGTTCGTTATATATTTAGACCTACCTTTACAGTAGCACAGGCATGAGAATAGGTGGAATCTCCTCTGGGAGCTCCGCCAGCATGGGATTATATGGTAAAATATAAAAGTGCAAAGTGAATTCAGTGGCTTTGTCTTTGCTCTTTGTCCTGAGCCTGTATCCTCAAACCACTTTGAAAAGGCCTTCAGTAGCATCGTGCGGTGTACTATGTTGAAGTCTAAATCTAAATGTGTCAATTAAAAGAAACCTCTCAATCTAAGGCCAAATCTTCATGCCAAACTGTATACCTAGATGTGGCATTGGAAATAATTTCCAACCCTAATATAATTAAATACACAACAAAAAAAAACAACATATTTTCTTTTAACAACACAAGGAGAAAACAACAAGCAGTTTGAATTGTTTTCCATCTTCGTTTAATTTACGACTCGTGCTCTTCAACAGTCCAGAGTCTCCGTCGTCATGTTTTCATTTCAGTACTGATGGTGCCTACGCACGCTGCCCACACACCACCGTACCACCGCAGACGCTGTCTTTCAAACTTCACTCTGATAACAAACTTTTTCCCAGAGGACACAACGTCCAATTTCTGCCCTCCAAAAAAACAATGACGTTAATCCTTTTAAAAAATTGAATATCCCGTGAATATAAGGTCATTGTATTCTTTCATAATGCATATAACACAATGTAATATTGAAATTCAGTTTCTAAAATTACATAGTATGATTATTATATGTCAAAGTATGAATTGACATATTCATCTTAGTTCATTATAGTATTGCATGGTGTAAAATAGTGTAGATTTAAAATCAAAGTATTCTACAGTAAGATATTTTATAAAGTAGCCTGATGCTACAGTATATTACAGTACAGAACACTAGTGTTTAGTAAAGAAAAACAAGGAGACGCCGCATGTTATTAAAAATGAATTATCATCTAAATTATACAGCTATTTCTTCCCCAGGTGAAGAAAATATTTGAAGGTGATCAATAAATCATGACAGGACAAATAACATTTACGTCATAGTCAGTGTTTATCTTTTTTTATGCCCCATTATCTCCTCAAAGCAGAACCTAAAACGGCATTATTGTCTGTAATGTTTTCATTGATAAATGACACCTTTGTGTAGATATTGGTTTTGTGTGTTGTTACCATTTAGTTCTTAAAAGTGTGTGTGTGTGTGTGTGTGTGTGTGTGTGTATGGCGCTGAGCGCCCGCATGGCTGTGATTTAGTGAACTGGAAACATTAATTATTAAACTGTAGAAGCATTATAATAAATAATGGAATATTACTTTATGAATTTATCCATGCAGCAACACCTTATAAAATCTTAAGGCTGCAGAGGGGGAGGAATCTCTCCCTTAAATTTAATGACCGGGAATTTTACAGGTGCTAAATCTGAATATAACTTTGCTCGAGAAGATCGAATTCTTTTCCCTATTTTAACATATTTTACATTCAATGGATTCATTGTGTATAAAACCCTTTAATTTATGCGTTTCCTTAAGACATTGTTGATTACTCTAGACTAGATTAAAGGGAGGAGGAGATGAAATGGTTCAAAATTTATCTAATATAGCTTAAAAAAGAAACTCGGGGGAAAAAAACTACCCCAAAAAAGAGTAAAGTTAGACAGAGACTTTGCTGAACCATTGAAGCAAACAATGCAAACCAATGTTGCTAAAGTAGCACACTATCTAAGAACAGGGTTTAATCTGAGCCGGATCCTGCTGGAACATGATCTGAGATCCTTTGAGTCACAATGAAAAAAAAGAAAAGAAAAGAATTGTCTCCAAACTTTCATGTTCTCTGCTTTCATTTTACAAATTAAGCACTAGCTAAAAATCAACGAAAATGTTATCGCAACAAAACTATAAGGTTATTAGCTGAAAGCTACACAGTACCTAAATGATTTTGTTTGGGCCCCAAAGGGTAAATGATTGTGCAAAAAGGCTAACTGTAGGCTAAAATCCTCAAAATATCGAAAACACAGAAAAATATTTTTTTAAAGCTAACCAGAAGTATGGACTCACTGCGTCTGCACAGCAAAAAAAAAGCAGTAATGTATCTGGTAGAAGCCCTTGTCCTCATACGTTCTGTCTCATGAAATGCCAAAGTATGTGTAAAATGACGTGACTGATGTGGAACAAAGACATCAGAGCACAAACTCATCCTGGAACGGTCCCTGATTTCTCTCCCCTCTCCTCTGTTTCCTGCAGCCATCTACGAGGCCTCCTGCGAGGCGTACAAGTTGATTGGCAGCTCTTCGGGTTTCTACTCCATTGATCCAGATGGGAGTGGTCCCCTGGGGCCCACGCAGGTGTACTGCAACATGACAGGTGAGATCACTACGCTCCCCATGCCGTTTTTTTTTTTCTTTTTTTTTTTCTTCTTCTCCCCTCTCTCTTTTCCTAGTTTCCCTGAGCTCTGACAGAAAGTCTAGTCTTTTAAAGATCACTCTGCATTGATCTGTTCTACAGTAGCTCGGCTTCGGCCAAGTGTCCAATAAGTAATCATTATGTTCACTCGGGGCACTTCCTTAGAGTTTATCCTATGTGTCCATGTCTTTGGCAAATGTCAATGTGCTTACAGTGCATCAATGTGGCCTCGCAAATACAGATTTAACTCTTATATTTGTACGATAACGAACTAAAGTTTTTGGAAAAGCTGATAAACTTTCAGGAAAATCCTTCAAAGTCAGTATATTCAGTAAGTCAGCTACTACTGACAGGCTGACTGACACCAAATGGGTTATGAGGGACGGTAGACTAAATAAATATTGTGGAGGACGACGGATTCACAGTAGCATCGAGAGCAACTCTTGACACGTTCTACAAAGTGTTGTCAAGATGCACGGTCTTGACTAAAATCCACCAACTCTGTGAGGCCAGTTTTTTAATTATTGAGTTGTTTTTTTTTATTATTATTTTCTTGACATTTTTCCATGTTAATAATTCCAACCGTTGGATTAGTCAAAAATAAGTCTTTTTTTGAGAAATACAAAATACAGGCAAATGATTTTTGATTTATACAGACTAGTCAGGATTAACTAATGGACTTTAATTAATCAGATGAAAAATTGAACTGTTTGCTCGCCTTTTTGTCTGTTACATCAGTGCTTATGTTAACTCTCTGACCTGTTTGTGTTGAAAATGCTAATGGGGGAAACCTAAGAGAACATTATTTCTCTTATGAAATCCTATGATTTCATAAGATTTCATTAATGATTATTAATAAATGTATTATTATAATTATTTGATTGACCTTTGTAACCCCATGTAGCCCCATGTACCACTAGAGAGTGCTCGCATACCACCGGTGGTACGCGTACCACAGTTTGAGAACCACTGATTTAGAGAATACAAATACATTCTTAAATACTACAAATCCTATCTTTGTCTTTTTGTTAGTTGACAAAAGCCCCGGAGGAACTACCCCACGGCAGATCTTGGGTTTTATTGCATTTTGTACCATTTCTTCTGGTAATTAGTTTCTTAAATGACACCCTGTGTTGCTGTTCCATTTTCTATTCTACCAATCCACTGGGTACAAGCTTCTGGAATGAAAGAAAATTTGTCATGACAAGATTACAGTCCCGACAGATTAGTCTGGAGGCCCAGCAGTGGCCTCTACAGGCTGCAATTTCCATCAGAACATGTGGTCATTAAAGTCAAAAAGATTAATTTCCATAGCAGCAGTAATCTGCTGTTTTTTCTCACAGCAGTGAAGCAGGAAGTTTTATTTTTTTTAACAACTATTGTTTTACAAAAAAAAACTAGGTGTGAAGGAAGAAAATCCACCCACGGTTGTTTTTGTTTTTGATTGCGACCTCTGGTAGAGACATTTGTATTTATCCAGTAGTGGAGGAGAACTTCCAAATCAAATTTCACAGATGTTTGTCCATTGATTTTAGGAATAAAAGATACGGTATCTCCAACTGATATTAATGTGCATCTCAAGGAGAAACCGTTGACCTTTGACTAAAGGAAGAGAAAAGAAAAAGGAGTCGATATTGTCATTAAAAAAATCTCCATATACAGAACACGTGCACGCTCACACGTGCACCACAGGAGACGGGAACTTCTGAAGTTCATGGCAATGTTGTTGAGTTTTGCAGATACGCTGACATTTGACTTTTAATTATCCACAGCGCTGGTTTTTAGAACTCTCAGACACCACTCAGACCTGTCGCTGTTTACCTGCTTGGTTTCACTCAATATCTGGATCCCATTATCACACCTTCCTGTCACCTTACCCCACAGACGCTGTTTTATGCGGTTTCACGACCGAGTGTCTGAACTATTTTTGATTCCGATCGTAAAAGTGAATTTATCTCACCTCTGCTAAACTTTGGGGGCCAAGAAGAACAGGCTTTTTAGGATCAATAGAGCGATTTGTGAAGACCAGGCTGCTTTTTTTTTTTCAAACGTCCATGACAGAGGTCATTGACTCGAATAGTCGTTTAAACTGGACACGAGGAAGCAAACAATTAAATCTAACTATTTAGAGTAGGGATGTAAAAATACACTCAACTCATGATGTGATATGATGAAAGAGAGCTAGTTCTCAACAACAACAACACTGTTTGATTGTGGACCAGTGGGTTCTTGCTCAAACGCTGCTGCTGGCCATTTGATTGGTGCACATTACAAGTGGCTCCCAGGTAATTCAGAAATTAGTGTGAATTTTTGTTTTTTCTCACCTTGCTTCGATTATATTGTTGTCTTGTCGAACTTCAACAACGCAGAGTGCAAATGAAGTGGCCCACTTCCCAGGAGTTAGCCACTTAAATACTCAAGTGTTATAAAATGTCCTGGCCAGCTTTGTTGGTCTGTGAATTCTTTTCTTTGAAATGAATACATTTCTTTGTTCTAGCAGAGAATAAGTCAGCCATAACACTTTAGCTAAAGTGCGGTCTTCTGAGTCTCTTCTGAGTAAAAAATTATTATAAATATATATATGTATATGTATATTTACATATATCTTTTTCCAACTTTCCTATTCTACCTGTTTTATCCATACATCTACACATATATGTTTAAAGAATAGGCTAATCAGAGCACTCTGTGTCCCAAAAATGCTTTCAGTCAGGCAATCATTCTAAGACTGAATTATGGAACCTTGAGAAACCAGGCTTCAATTCCTCTCCCATGCAACTCAATTTCCATCATTCTCAAAGGTTACTGTTATAGGAATCACTGATCAATAATGACTAAAATGTGTTCCCTTCACAGATTCATATGAATCCCTCACGTTCGAGGCTAATTTAGGTATTCTGTTTTTAGTAAGTGATGTAATAAGCTCCCATCACTCAGCCTCCCTGGGAACACTTTCCAGCCCCACAGTGGAGGCGTGAATCCCACCCACCTCTAAAATCACTCGTCTCCTAGTTTAACCATCAGAGATTGAACACGGTGTTGTTTCCACGCACAAAGAGAGCGGCAAGAGAAAGTGATGAGATTTACTGTAAATGAACCTTTCGAGATCATGATGTCGGCTTGATAGAACAGAGATGGAGTGCACTCCACGTGGGAAAGAACCGTAGTTAAGGACGCCGGGTCATGTCATAGCAAATTGGTAAAATGTCAACAGTCTCCACAGGGGAATAGTTTACGATTTTGCCAAACAATAGAGGGTTTTTTTGTAGTTAGCTCTGATTTGTCTTTAAATATTCGCTGACATATTGGGTTTTTTGTAGTTAGCTCTGATTGGCTAACTGTTAAAATCACTATTAAATTTGTCTTTAAATATTCGCTGACATATTATACAAAACATCATGGAGGTTTAAAGTTAGTATGGGCTTACGTGAAACCTGTAGAACATCCATATGGGACCCTCGTTTCAAAACCATATTTTTCACTCATACAAATCTCACATACATCTGCAAGAGACACGTTTCCAAACAAGCGTGGACAGGAACAGGATTACGAACAGCATTCCAAATAGACTCCTTCAATTGACAGATGGCTTTCTTTGCATAGTTTGGCGTGATCTCCCGCTGGGTGCGAGCATTTTTTTTCTGGTTATTCTTGCATTGTCCCAGATTTTAAAAATAAGAGAAAAATATACCACTTTGAGGGGTTTAGTTGCTGTAAAAGTATAGTGAAGCTACATCGAAGGCCACCGGAACAACTGATAATTAGCAAACGGCATAATAGCAAAGGTACACCGACACTTCAAAAGTCTTCAGACGATGGGGTTTTAAAGAGATAAAGAACTCCTCACTAAAACTCTCTTCAAGACGATGGGGAAGAGATAAAGAACTCCTCACTAAAACTAACCCCATAAAGTAGCCAATAAACGATCATGAAAATAGGCCAAGGGCAACTACTGTAAGTGCTGGGTCAGATGTGGCATTAAATCAGCTTAAAATATAACAGAGCTGCTACGCTATTTAATATTAGCTTAGAACATATAAACCATTACTTTGAAATTAACAGTAGCTACAGATAAGGTTGAAGAGTTCTGTTAGGCAACTGGACGTGACATTTTCTAATAGAAGACGTTTCGCCTTTCTTCCAAGAAGCTTCTTCAGTTCTAACTGGTGGAGGGGTGTGCAGCAAATATATACTCCGGGTGTGAAAGAATAAAGCTACTTCAGCTCCCTCCTGTTGGGTGGGGCCTTGGGGTCAACTGGGAAAGTGTAAACAGTGGTTAGGAGTCTATTGGATTGTTGTGATCCTCATCAGAAAGGTTTCGGTCACCTGACAATAGCTACAGATACAGTATATCTGACGTTATTTTTTTGACGCTAAAAAGAAAGCTAAAAAGAAAAACCTAAAAAAAAGTAGCTAAAGGTTAACATCACATTATTGCTTGTTGACAAATGCCCAAGGTGAAAAAAAAGTTATCTTTGACCATGAAAATTTGCAATGGTTAAAAAGCTAGCTGTTGTGAGCTAAAATGTAGCTTATATTATGTTGTAAAAAATAGTATTATTTGAAAAAGGTCAAAAGAAAAGTTCTTTCCTACCATGAAATTTCCAAAGCGTGGGCCTTTTGGTGACTTTCTATGACTGGACTTATAGCATCCCCACTACATCTGTGACATTTAAAAGTCAAAGAGTTTTCTGCGTACACAAATACCACGTGCGTTCATCCAGATTTTTCTTTCTGCCAACATTCAGAAATAGCTTGAATACAACAGTACATTGAAGCCCATGAAAACAGAGACGCAGCCTCTTTGATTAATTTGCTCCATTACCCACCGCCACATCTCAAGTGTCGAATCTGCCCACTTCTTTAATTACCTCCATCGCTCGTGTCATATTTGCACGACGTTTGGAAGCATTTGCGCCTGTACCTGAATTGGACACCGCGGAGACGTGACATTTGACGGACACGCAGAGGGACACTTCCTCGATTCCCGGTCTCTGCGACGTGTCCGACAAAACAGTGCCAGTCGTGGCTGGGACACGGCAGAGAGACACCGTTCATCAGTTACCTGTCACAACTTTTTCTCAGCCATACTTCGGTGTCCTCTTCAAGGTCAATGCACTACAGTGATGCCATTACAGTGGATACAGGGAGAGAGAGATGGAGATGGAGAGAGAGAGAGAGAGCTGCTGCTGATGCAATAATATTGCTGTGCGTGTCAGTGGCATTTTCTATTTGCAGTCTCACCCCCCACAGCAGATATACCTCAGCTTGACCTCAATTAAAGAATCTATTAGAGATGTAAATAACTATAAGCCCAGCAACCTAATGTGAATAATCAATCACAGAGTGGAGCGAGAGAAGGAGGGAAGGGGGGAAGGAGGGGGTTCCTCTGAGGCAGAGTCAACACAAAAGCCACATAATTAATATTTATAGATCGTTGGATGGATGGATGGATGGATCGTTGGATGGATGGATAGATAGATAGATAGATCTGTGTCAACTCTTTTGGACTGTCTTTCTGACCAATACTTCAGCCTAACTAAAACCTATTGTTCACCTACTCCTTACCTAAAGGTCTATTAGAGCCCCTAAACACTGTTTGTGAAAACAAGTTGAGATTTCACGGTGGAATAATTGAGCTAAAGTTCAGAAAAGGTCAGCACTTCCAAGTGTAAAGGTAGAGAACCTAAAAAAATCTTTAGGCGTTTAACTACTTCGCCTATAGCTACGTTAAGGTGACAACTGAAAATGTCAAGACGCATGAGGTCGAGGGTGAATACAGAAGCCCGCTAACACCATCCTTCTGTACCGCAGAGATGAGCTGTTTGTCCACAGTGATGAATTCCTCCACCTTCTCTGTCATTTCTGGCCGTGTCACTCTCCCAAGAATGCCTATCCTTCACTTTTAAATAGCTCGTGCTGAATGTGAGGCTTCGCCGAAGCAGCCATGTTGCTTAAGTGAGTGGAGACAAAGTGTGACAGAAAGATAGCAGCCAGAGTGAAAGGGAAGGTCTAATCCATCAAAGGCGGAACTACTGTAATTCTTGGTTTGGAGACAGTGACACTGAAAGGCTAAGACATGGCAGGTGTTGAAGTTAAAAAAAAAAGAAAAAAGACAGACGATGTTGATGTGGCTCGATCACGTACTGAGAGTAACCAGTGGAAAATATAAGGATTGTAAGATGTCGGACACGAAGGAGGTCGTAAAGACAAGTGTGGCAGCAGCTCGGTAGTTGGATAATCAATGGTAGTCATGTCCATGTACCAGACATGACTAGACACCACCTGACACCACAGAGAGAGGGTGTCGTTTTTGCAGTTTCAAGATTGTGTGTTGGCTTGAACAGCCAGATACTGTGTGCCTCTGTTCTGAAAAAGTTGGATTATAGAACCGAGGTCACTACGAATAATGTGTAGATCTTGAGTCAACTGGTCGTGATGTTTTGTTGTATTTAGAATTGTAACTACAGACGTCCTTCAGTTTATCTCATGAGTGTTTGGGCTGGAGAATTTGATGCTGTTTTCTGTGTTAGGAGACTGGCCATTTGTAGTGGAAAAAAAGTACCTCCATGAGTTTTGTAAGAAAGGTTTTTCTCAAGAATTCTTGTCATTTCACAGTAACCTGATCAACAAAATCGTCACGATGTAACTTTCTGTACATCAGTACCCAGAATAGTCTCAGACATTCAAAGAGTTTCTTAATAAATTTATGGGAAATGACAACATAAACACCAAATGCACATAAAGGAGAAAAAGGAAAACAAGTGTACAGAATACAAGCAAACAAGGAGAGGCTAAATAAACTGTACTGCGCTTCCTGAGATAAGCAGAATACTATAAGTCATGAGGATTCTGCAAAACGCTGTGAAAGAGTACGCATGAATGTGTGAATCAGAGCTGGAGATTTTGCCTGACTGTCTCCTGGCATGTTTTATTGCCCGGTGTCCTCTAAATAGGACACTGTGTTCTGTAGCTGAAACTTGGGAATGACATCATAAACTCTTAAGGTGTTGTTGAGATGAAAATGTGATGAGGTGCGTCCTTTTCTAGTAGGCCTTTTATTCTTAGGTTGTCTTTCCAGACACAGGAGGTACTGTACAGTACTTACTCCTTTGTCTTGTTTGATCTTATGACGAAATCTGCACAGTCAGAGTCTCACAGTCTCCATGCAGACCAGACTCTCGGAATTAGAATAATCAGGGAATCCGCTGTATCAAAAAATCCCATTCCTGTTGATGTTATTGACACATTATTTAAGCTACTAGCACTTTGGCCCAGAGGCAACGTCTCTGTCAGTGGAGTGGAACCCCAGGGTTCACCTCCTGGTCAGGGCGGTTGGTACCTTCCAGTGGACTCACCACCTGCAGGAAGGTTCGGGGGGGTTGGTACGGTGCAGTGTGATTTGGGTGGCGGTCGTGTAGTCTGCTGCCCCCGTGACCCGGTAACGGATAAGCAGATGAAAATTCTAGGAGCTAGAACATACTTTCCTCGTCTCTTCCCTTGTCTTCGCCAACGTGGGAGTTTGTTTCTGTGGATGTAGTAATGATAACTTGATTTAAGGCCCAGAGAAACTCTGTTACTCCGTACCCAATACAATGAAGAGAATCACATTCAGCCCGTTTCCACGGAGCTTTTTCATGCAGGTGTACTTATTATGACAGATCACAACACACCAGAGGCTGAGAGGAGGGTAGAGTGCCTGCCCGAGTTTTTTCGTAGTGCAGCTGCATCCTGCAACTGTTGCAGTTTTTATGACAGTGACCGAACAGGACCCACGATGGACACAAAAGTTACTTTATCTTTTTATTTTTTCGTGCACAAAAAAGGGGAATCCACTAAGCTCTTCCTGTCTCTTTTAAACTGATGCACCTTCCCTGCGATTAAAAAAAAAAAAAGTTCTGTCAAGCCTCAAAGAAGGATTTTATTATTTAATGTAACATAAAGACAGATAAAAACACACGCTCTGCCTCTGTCTCTGTCATGGCATGTGGACATTTCTGACAGGAAATACAAATGAATGTGTGATTTAGCATTCAGAGTAATGAGTGCGGATGATGTATTAACATATAAAGGTTAGAGCATTATTTTCTGGGCTGAATTCTAACGGAGTGCCAAGGTTTTGGTGTTCCAAATTTGAGGTCAAGATTTTTATGCTATCGAACTGTTTTGTAGTTAGAAGATACAGAGTGGACGTCATGTCCCTGTTATCGGACCTTCACACCTCTTTGTGCATGAGTTAAAGGGTGTGAAGGCGAGGTCTCACGTATTTAATGTATTTTCAAAGAAATGAAAATATACAGCGTAAGGCACTTTAGGCTAAGAGGCTGTCGCTCTTTCTTACAGAGGAGAGGGTTTGGACCGTCGTCCCCCACAACGTCACCACTCCGGTCACCGTCCAGAGCTCCTCGCTCCATAAACCTTACGTCATGGACTTCAACTACAGCGCCACAGCGGGGCAGCTGCATGCGATTGTGTCGGGGTCGGAGCAGTGCCAACAGGAAGTGGTCTACAACTGCCGGAAGTCTCGTCTCTTCAACACAAGAGGTATTTAATGACGCTCACGTAGGCTAATGGTTGAATTACTGTATGTCAGTGAAGGAGCAGGGAACAAAAACGCTGCAGAACATTTGTAATATTTAATATAGAATTTATATTATTATAGTGTATATATTTAATATTACTATAGTTAGTGTATATTTTAAATGATTAAAGTCTATATATTTTATATAATCATAGTGTAAACCAGTGACTCCCAACCACTGTGCCATGGAAAATCATCCAATTTTACTTAATTGGTCAGAAAAAAATACTATTTATATATTGCATAGTTTTTCTTTGTTTAACAAATAAAGACTTGTCCACTAGGTGGCCGCAGATGGCTAGGAAAACTAAAAAAAAAAAAATCAGAGCTGTTGAAGGAGGTCTTTGAGTGTCTTTCTTCAATTCCTGCGAGTAAATCAGAGTTGTCTTCAACTAAACGGGCCGAGATTTTGGTGAACTGATAAAATTTAAACTTGGAGGTTATTATATTTTATTACATATACGTTTTATTACATATACGTTTACATATAAGAATGTTGTTTGGTGGTGTGCCGTGGGGTTTTCCTAATGAAAAATATGTGCCACGGCACAAAAACATTTGGCAACAGCTCGTACAATTTTCCCATTTTTAAATAAGCAACTAGAGAATATTAATAATTGAACTTTTTTTTAGCTATTATTTAATTGTTATTGTCATCGTTTAAAAATAGTCCAAATGTTATTTTAGTCCAATCCTGACCTACATCTATATCACCGTGTTTTTTCCATCAATCACAACCTTCTGCCGCCCCGACCGGACTGGTCTCAGTGTGGACCAGTGTGTACAATTTCATGGTAGTTCAGCGTCGGTTGTTTTGCATCCGTGGTGGAGTGGTTGTTGTGACAGTGTGAATTGAAAATGAGTCTGTTTGTGTGCTGTCACTGTAGGAGCTGCTGCTGCTGCTGCCCCCCCCAGTGTGTCCTCTCTCCTGCCTCCCTCCACATGTTTTTTTTTTTTTTTTAACAATAAGTTGCCAATATTTAGGTGTTCACTCATCTTGAACTGCTCTTGCACCTATGTCGTCCACAAACACCAAAACATTTCCTCTTAAATCATGAAACATTCATGATGTCCCAGTTTCAGCACATTTCCCAGGGCACTGTGTGTGTGTGTGTGTGTGTACAAACAAACAAGTTCATTATCACACCAGACTTCAAAGAAAGACACAAAAACATATTTTTTTTGTCAAAGCTGCATAAACATTTTTTTGCAAAAAATACTTTTTTTTCCCAAACCCTTTGTTGTCAGGGAACAAACACAAATGTGGCCAAATTAGTTCTGCTTTTTTTTTTCACACATTCAGATGCAGACTAGGTAGAGATTTTTTTTTAATTATTGAAATTTGAACTACAAACTCCCGCAGCAACATGTTTACACAGGCGCCACAAAAGGAACAAATGGTAGAATTCTAAAAGAGACAGAAGTTGACAGTTTATCCTCAAAACTTGGCTTGAACATTTACAGAAACCTGTAAAATGGAGCCCTGAAGTTAAGGTTTGACTGTCCCCCCTCCAACCAATCACTCGCCTCAAAATCAACCCTGAACACCATACTGTCCTAAGTGCACAGTCCCTGTCTGTTATTTTTTAATTTGATATGAAAGAAGCCGTTCTTTAATTATTAAACCTTTTATTTAAACTGCTTTAACAGCAAGTCCAAACTGGTCCAAACCCCCGAGCAAATTCCCTCCTTTTTATCTTCTTTAACGACTTGTTTCCATCCTTATCTTGAAAAACCAATGTGCTTCAACTGCACACTTTGGTTATTTCTTCCTCATCTTTTAAGTTGCTTCATCAACTTTTACGACATCCTTATGTTCATATTGTGGATGAAATGGCCAATTTCAACAGCATTTAACATGAAACTTTAATGAAAAAAAAAACAATGGAAATGTGCATGATTCAGTAACCAGGCGGAATTGATTTTGTCTCAATATAGTCTCAAGTACATGAACCCCTGAGCTCAAAGACACAGGTGTTTAAATGTGTGGTAAACACTTAACCAACGCCAAAGCACCCTTAAAAAAACATGTAAAAACAACATTTATTTTTGTTCACAGCCCAATTAAAGTGTCTTGGTGCGACGTTCTAAACTCAAGAGAAAGTCCAAGAGAGAACTCGAGTGTCGTTGCTCTTAACCTTTCCTCCTAAAAGACAACTTCAGTCATGAGATCATTATGATGAGCAATTATTAATAGCATTTTGCAAATTGTGTCTGTCGCAGGAAGTCCAATTTTTTTTCCCAGCATTTTCTACAGCACCGTTTCCGTGGCACATATTTTACATCTAGAAAATCCCATGTCACAGCAACAAATAAATGTTATGAGAGGAATTTAAAATGGAAAAAAAAAGATCTGTCTCATCTCCACTGTCAGTCTCTGCTTCTAAGATACAGACGTTGCTCCACTTTAATGTACTTCCTAATGTTCTTCAATTGCTGGTTGATTTGCATTGATAAACATTGTTTTTGTTTTCCTGCTGGATCTCAAACGGCAGCAACGTTCACAGTGAACAGATTTAATGACTCCTCGGTCTCCGTCTGTCTGTGTGTGTCCTTTTCTTCTTGTTTGTTTCACTGTTTTATTTTTACACTGCAAAACGTGCTTTTTCAAGGTATCGTTTTTTTGTTTTTTTTTTAGTGCTGCCGTGAAAACTTGCTGTTTGTGTACAAAACCGAAAGGCAACTTGGCATTTAGGAAACTCTGCGACACGCTGCTTTTCATCCATCCACCCGCGTGGCCCTGTTGGTGTGGATTCATGGAAAATACACCAGCTTGGGGTTTTTTGTGTTGTTAAATCTGCAGGAGATGAGCAGCAGAAGAGTGATGGTGTTGGCTTATCAGAGCAATTCCTATGGAGAGGTATTCCTAGTACAACATTTTTCTTTTTTAGTTTTTTTTTTTTTAGATTGGTTTTGTAACTGGTTTCTGACGACGCCCGCAGCTCCCTGTGGAGTTTACACACTCCTTCTGTGAATCACGGTGGGCTTCAGGATAAAATATGTGAGGGAACGGGATGTGAGCGGCTCCAGGTGAGGACTGGACTAATCGCTCAACTTTGGCAACAATCACACCGTGGCAATGTGTAGCACGGATTTGTGATCGAAGCAATGACTCCTATAGACAAGTGTAACAGCTTTTCCACAGCAGGCATAGGCGACAAAAACAAGGCCCAGTGTCATTGAAGTGGTCGCCCCAAGGTACTTGTTTAATGATGACAAGAGAATTATATCCTCTGTGATGAAGTATTCAAGGACGCAATTTATGACTGACAAAAAAATATAGATATTATTAAATATGAGTGCAAAATTCAAAATTGATTTGAATTGCATGGACACATTTTGTTATTCATTTAATTTACAATTATATATCAAATAAAACATTCGTGGTTGTAGAACAGATTAAAAGATTAACTTTTAATTTATTGTAGATTTTAATTTTTTTTTTGCTTTTTTTCTAATGTTTCTATTTTCCAACTAACACTCATATATATATATATTTTTTTATTTATTTTAGGTCTTAGCACTTATGTTAGCATGTAATTAATAATAATTTTTCAGCTGAGGGTTGGTTTTTGGGGGTTGTGAGAATTATTCTGGCAACAGTGTTACATGGATGGAAATGGAGAAATTGCAGTGGGAGACTTGTAATAATTGGTCACTGTGTGTGATTGACAGCTGCGTTGTTTTTCTGAGTCGCTAACCACCATGCTCCCTACCCATAATTAACAAGTATAATAAACAATGGTTTTTGCATGTTGCTTAAGCTGCCGTCATATCCTCCCACCTTTCTTATAATAGCGCTCAGTAACCTCCAGTGACTGATATATGTGGAAATACAAAAGCTGAAGTGTGTTAGTTCTGCTCATCATTCCGAAGCACTTCCTGATAGAGAATATTGAGCTTCTTTTTAGAGAAGACGCTCTAAATAGAATGCATTCGCTTTCCTGCCTTGTGTAACTTCCGTCAATATCCATCCAAATTAAGGCCAAGTGTGAGTGAGAATGACCTCT